ATGTTTAGAATTTAGAAATTAATTTTTTCACATTTTGTTATTGAATGACTAACAGGATGTTATGCAAACATCCTTGTTTGAATTTATTGATATCGATTTCAAAGTAAGACGAGTCCTTTATATTTAATAATAATAATAATAAATTATCTAATAATATACAAGATAAACTGCCAAATACCATGTTGTTTAGTGGTAGAGGCATACCGGTACCTGATTTTAAATTACCTGATTATGTTAATCTGGGTATAAACCCATTGGAATGAGTTGTCATTAATCATATTTAATTTATCATAAGTTAATTTGTGTTTATTTATTTAATTTCACATTAATCAAATTATTTCATATAATAATTGTAGTAAAGCTTTATAAAATTATGTTTATAAAAATGATGTAAAGATTTTTATTCAAATATTATAATTATTTGATAAGAATAAAATATAACTTTTTATAAATATATTTGTAACATTTTTTAAACAAGTTACGTTGACATTACTTATAAAATCTCTCTCTCTTACTCTCTCTCTCTCTCTCTCACACTCACTCACTCATTAAGTCACTTATTCACTCACTTATTCACTCACTTATAGGGTGACCACCAAAAATCCTCTTAAAAAAGGACGACTTGCATAAAATAGTCATTAAAAAAGGACAAAAAAAGGACGCAATTTTTTTTAACCCAATGCATTTTTCTTTGTTTTGTCACACATTTTAAATGAATATTTAAATGAAAACACTTTTAATAAACAATATTATCTAATTTTTATAAGTTTTCTGTTAACAATTACCACATTTTTAAATAAATTTCTACTCTATTATTTACTGTTTATGTGCTGTAATGTCTAAACTTTACAGCTTTAAAGATCTACAGTGCATAGAAATCAATGATATTTCCCATATTTTAAAACACATTAACCTTTTATATTGAAATTACTAAAATTCAAAAAAAGGACGCGTCCTTCTTTACTCTGTTTTCAGAGGTCGAAAAAAGGACAAAACCCATAAAAAAGGACGTTCTGGTCACCCTACTCACTTATTCACTCTTGGTTAGTTAAAACATAAATTATTTAAATTTTATATTAGATGATTTTAATAAGTAAATCTATTTAGTAAAACACTAATAAATATGATTAGGAAAGACTTTTATTAGACAGTGCAAGGGCAAATTATTGTAAAGATCCCAATGAATTAATTTATTTAATAAAACGTCACATTTTGCTATACCTGTATTTGTTATACATTACAAATTACCTTGTTATTGAATTTTAAGAAAAACTCTGCATTAAAACTCATTAATCATGGCTTATTGTGTAAAATACCCTAACCCATTTGAGCCGTACATACAGACATAGATAATAAATATGTCACACATTACAATAGCGTCGGGTTAAATAACTTAATTAATTATTCAGTTAACTAACATCTAACTTAAACAGATGTGGGACACAATTTGCGTCAAAGTAGCACTATGATAAATTTACAAGTAACTTATTACGTTTAAATTCTACCAGATAGCATCAAGCAAATAATTATTAATATAAAACGCAACAACCAGTGTATAACAATCACAAAAATCTAAACCACCATGCAACACATCAGTCTACTAACTGCCGTAATTGTGGTACTTTGCGGTACCGTATGTTTGGCACAAAACTACGTTAGTTTATTTGCGGCACCTGACAACTTGCCCGACGTAGTAAATAAGGTGGTTAATCATGATCTCGAGACCAGAGATTACGACCTAGATGATATTGTGGATGGCGGTGACACCGAGGTGGTGGGTAAACGAAGTTTGGCCGATGATCTCAATGAAGTGGTCGAGGTGGTTTTGGACGACCCTGAAGACACCGAGGTGGTGGGCAAACGCAGCTTGATTGCCAAACGTGACCAAGATTACTCGTGTGGCGACTCTACCGAGGTGGCCGGCTAATTGTTGAGCTACTTGTTTACTATATGCTTAATTATTTGCTTTAATTATGTTTTTGTATATGCTTTAATAATTTTGTTTTTGCGCTTGACAAACACTTGCTTGTTAAAAAAAATTTTAATTACTTTTTAATGTAATTGTTTTATGCTTTTATTAAAAGTATAAATAGTTTTATTGCTTTTATTTGCTGAAAGTATTGTTGATATTTATTTAAGTTTGTTGTAGAGTTTTATTTGTATTAATAAGCTAGATTACATGTTTATAAATGTAAAATAAAATTTATTCTTGTGATATTATTTATTACATGTACATTTAGTTCACTATTTAGTAAATGTAAAGTATAGTAGATAATAAAATATAGTATTCATAGTATTTGCTATTATATAAATTACAAAATACAATATAAAATTAGACAGTTCCACGTCCACTTTATTTATAATAATTAGCATGTGTTTTTAAATCAAAATTTTAGTCTCTCTCTCTCATCTCTCTCTCCCTTTCTCACTCTGATTTGAAGCACATGTTATAATCACATGAGATGTTAAATAGATATATTTTTTATGTTGGTAAATTCCCTTATGATTTAACCGACATTTAAACGACCAATACATACATTCATGAGATGTATTTATGCACCTATTGATAACCACATATAAAATATAAATGCAGTACAATTAGTACAGTGTAAAAAATAATCAAATAAAATTCGTAAACATTTAACAGCATGCTCAATTCAATTGTCAATCAAATCATAAGCTATCATGTAGTTTCATTATGAACAATACAATTTTCTACCATGCATATACACTATATTTATTTAACTTTAGATATAATTATAATACAATTAAACTTCAATCAAATCCTATGGATGTGTAGTGTCTGTAAGGGGTAGGGGTATGGAAATGGCAATGACAGTGAAAGTGAACATGTTAAATGTCATAATACTTGTTATTTAATCGAGTTGTTTTTTTGTTTTTAAGAATTAACAATGAACCGTGATTATAATAATTTTTTCTTGACAATATAATAGCCAGGTTGACAGTTGATTGATGCACCAAATACAGTCATACCCCCGTTAATGATTATGGTTATTAATAAATTAAGTAAGTATAATTAGTCTATATTGCTAATTAAAAACCGTAAAATTTATAATAAAATGTCATTTAAAAATTAAATCTTAATTTAAATAACTAGCTAAAAGTTTTAAATAAAATCTATTTATTACTTTACCTACTTTCACATATAACTACTTAACAAAATTTGACTGTATTTGTAATTTTACAAGAACTTTACCAACAAAAAATTTTAGATATATAATTGATGTGTACCAATGTAGTAGTATACATTCTTTCAAAAGTTCTCTTGTTGAAACCATCACATAAAATTTTACTGTGTTCTATTAACACACATAAATTTGATAATGTTTATTAAAATCACCTTGATAGTCGCTGTACTATTAGCACTGTGGACCATAGCCTATGGTCAAGACTGTAGCCCAAAAGGTATGAAACGGTTTGATATAACAATGGCCCGATTGGTTACGATTGCCAACTCTGGCCGTAAGTTTCCCGAAGCTAAAGGAACAGAAATGAAAAAGTGGTGCGAGTAAGTATATTAAAATAATTATTTATCATTAAGCAAGCTAATTTATTTATTTAACTTAATACAATTAGTGAATCTGATGTACTAACCAAAGAACTGGAGACATACAAACAAAAATGCTTCAAAGATTTGAGCAAGCAAGTGTTTGGCGTAATGATCTACTCCATCAAAAATACATTAAGGTCGTACTGTAAATCTGGTAAAAAGCAGGACTCTCTACTTAAGGCTACCCCATGTTTAAACCATAATGATCCGTTGGTTACCAAGTGCTACACCAGTTTTATTGACGGCTTGTTGGGCGCACAGAATGCCAACGACACCAAAAAGATACCCTATTTGTGCTGGTAGGTTTTTTTTAATTATAATGTAACATATTGTTTTATGATTAACATTGTCTATTATTACATTTTAATTGTTAACTATGATATTAGATTTACAAAATTAGTTCCGTGGCATCTATACCCATATATATAAAACAATAGATTAAAATATTATTATATTGCCTAAATTAAAAATAATTACAGTTGTAGATTATATATTAAATTAATGATTGTTATTTACCGTCAATTCTATCTACGTAATTAAGTAACTTAAATAACTTAATTTACAGTTTTACTAACCATTATAAAATTATTTTTATCAAATATAAGCTTCAATTGTTTAAAGTTATGCACAAAATATATTTTCAATTTAATTAATAATTTTATAATAATCTATATAACATAAATTAATATTAATTAATATGTACAACATTTCAGCGAGTACGTTAAGATATTTCCGTGTTTTGACGAGAAACTATCGCCGGCTCCCAAATGCAATCAAAAAGGCATCGATTTTGTCAGCGATTTGATCCGTAGTATAGCCGGCAATGTTGTCGACTTGATTTGTGGCGACTATGTAGAGGGCTCCGATAAATGCACTCATCTAGGTAATTGTTATAAATATTTTAATCAATTCTAATTACACCCGAAGTATAATCTATAAATTAAATATAAATATTTATTACCATAACACTAATGTACGTTGAAATAGGTTGCAACATAAGTTTTTTACCAAGATAATTTGTATTTTATTTGACAGGTCCGCCGCCTAAGAAATCTAAAAAACAGCGCCGTTTGAAGTCATTCGCTGTGCCGGTGCTCGACCTCTTGTCCTCCTTCCCAGAGGTGTAATGATCAAGATCATTTAATGTGTTTTAATATTTTTTAATTAATGCTAATTGGTTTTAATGTGTTGTATTTGTGTTTGGTCAAATAAAATAATTTCGCACAAATTTTTGTTGAAAAATATTTATTTGCTAAATATATTTGTTTAATTATATGGTATGTAACTATTATTAAATATAACATGATGTTCATATGATGGGGAATACCCTGATAGATATTATTTATTAAAATGAAAAATACAATCAAGGCCAATTGAATAAAGAAAATATTCCAACAGTTAATACTGTTTGCTGTAAACAGCATTATTCTAGGATAAGCCTGTCCAATGTGTTTTTAGTATATCACAAATACAGATTCACAGTATGGCATAAAAAGGTGGCGCAACGGTCAGTAAAAAAGTTTAGGGTTGTCAGTATTAAGCAACAACACCACGTGAAGGT